TTAAGTAGGCAGTTCCTTGGCAACGCCTCATCCGTTGGCACTGCAAAACGTGTAGTCTTCAGAGCCATGCCTTCAGGGCGCAAAAGAAAATGCAGTGAGACGAGGCAAGAAAACACAGAACCTGAAAACAGTCTGCAAGGACTCGCGCGGCTTCAGTCCAACAACAAATGCAGCATTGTTCACTCCGCCAACTGCGAAAAATGTTACCACCGTAGTTACGGATACATACATGTCATTGCATGTAGTTGCCAACAGCGCTGCCAGGCGCCTGGGAGTTGTTCAGTGTTTACCATGGTTTTCAGCAAAGAAGGGTGACCGGGGGTTGGCACATTGGATAGCAAGCCTGCTGGCTTGCAAGGCCAAGCTTTGTTGCAGCATGATGAGTGCGCGCGCATGCGCAGACACACAGACACACAGACACACAGACATGCAAGCACACCCCCGCACACCGACAGGTGCCATCAGTGGGTGTTCTGGAGATCCATGAAGAGCCAAGCCACATGCTTTTGCAGACGCTAGCCGAAGCTTTTGCCAACTAAGACACACTTATCGCCTTGAAATGTGCTGAAAAAGTAGTTCAATGCCAGCGAAACGCACCCCCAGCGGCGTTGTTCCCATGTAGTTGCAGGCAACGGAAAGAACTCCACAGGTGTGTGAGTAGTTGGCAGCTGCCTGTCGGCGTTGTAGTGATTGAAAATTGTTGCATGTCACGGCAGCGTGATAGATCTGCGCTGCCGTAAAGTGTGTTGATCTTGTGGATACGAAGGGCGTCGTGTTGTATGAGGTCCTGAGTGTGGAGAAGTGTGTTGGCCATCTGTGTTTCTCGCTTGTTTGCTAGTGCCTTGTTGCACAGCAATGCTCTTGCCTGCTGTGGAGCCTGTGTGGGTTTGTAGGTTGGGTTTGCTGCAAAGGCTTGTTTCCAGGAGGAAGTTTCTGAGGTGTAGTCCCTCACTAACTCGTGCGCAGATCAGACTCTGCTGAACAAAGCGCTATTGTAGCTTGTGTCCTGCTGCCGCACGCAACTGTAGTCCCAAGGAGGTGTATCTTGAAACCCGACGCTGATATCCGGGTAGTAGGGCATCGAGTAGGTGCCTTACTCGCTTGTGTGAAAGTGCTGCAGGTCCTGTGGGGTCTCGCGCTAGTTCTTTTGTGCGTCGGCTTTCTCGGGTCGTGCAAGCTAATCGTTGTAATTTACCGACAACCCTCCTGCGTTGTTCGTGATCGAGGGGCGCTTTGTCTTCTACTGTTGGTTTGTATACTGGGCGGTTCCGGCAGTCGAAACTGGTCGCAGTTTCTCATTTTACTTTCCTTTAGCATGTTGTTAATCGAAGGTGGGCCTGGCAATAGTCTTGTTGCCAAGTACCAAAGGTCGTCCACGTGCACCATGTAGCAGTGTCTGGCTGCACTGGTGTAGACGCTTGGTTCTGACTTGAATCGTGCAAGGCCAAGCTGTGTAGCGCCTCAGCTAGAACTTCGTGGTCCGTGTGGCCTTCTTGAGCCGCCGTAGTTTGTTGTGTTGCGCACATAGTTCCCTAGGCAGCCATTGGGGCGCGTGCGTGCAGGGATGCTGCGCACACCAAGTCTAGCGACCCCGTTTCGTCGTGGCGTCTGAAGCGCAAGGGGTGTCCATACTGTCGTGAACATTGGCGCATAAGCGTAGACGGAGTCGGCGTCCTCAATCTTCTCGCTGTAGCCCTTTGTGACGATTCCACATCGTACGCCTTTTGCGGTGGGCCCATCCTGCAGGGAGCGCTTCCTTTATGACGCCGTCGTCAAGTCTGGAGGTTTCTACTTCGTCGTGTAGTGTCATTTGGTCCGACGTGTAGGCAGTTGTTGAAGCGCTGTTAGACAGTGTTGCTGCGTTGATTCTTGGTCGTAGAGGTGTGATTCTTTGGCGGTGTTCTCTGTTCTGATTTTGTAGTGTTTGCTCGGGTCTTTTGAGCTTGTGCTGGTCGCATTACTTCTGGGCTCGAAGCGCTGGAGCTGGTCGTCCAGTGGCAAGGTAGCCATAGGATCTGGCTGATAGTGGTCGTGAAGTTGGGGCCGAAGGCTGTGGAAGTCGTGGAGGTGACGGTGACGTGGCGCGTTGCAGATCACGCACAAGGTCTGTAGTCGTCGTAGTGTTCTTGCCTTTTGCACACCTTGTTCTGCTGCGTAGTTTTCTCATGTCGCGGAGACTTTTCCAAGCCAAACACATTTCTGCACTTGGGGTTTCGGGAGTCTGCTTTTGGTAGTTTCTGGCGCTGTGGTTGAGGTAGATTAGTGTCTCGTCGAATTCGTGAGCTGCGCGATCGCAGTTTCCCCGGCGGCGTTCGAAGCTTGCGCCGTCGTCGCGATTGACTGTCCACGCTGCGTGTCATACTATCCATGGTAGTAGACAACGCTTTGTCGACTTGCGTGTTGACGACGTGCGCTTGTCCGAGCAGTGCTCCGTGTAGTTGTTCAACGTTGCCTGCTGTAGGACGCTGAGCGCCGTAGAGACAGTGAGCCGAATTTGCTGGGAGATGAACGAGTGTAGATTATTGATCATGTAACCCATCACCAACGCCTTGTCCGGAACCAACACCGCCACGCACAGTTGTTTGGTAACACCAACCGCAAGAGGGAAGAGCCATTGGCAGCTGATAGGCAGGGAATGATACAGTTGGCCAATTGCCCTTCATGCCTCACAAAGAAGACTGAGAGGCGGGATGGATTCTAGTCTGTTTCATTTGCTATCATTTTCCGTCTGTTTCTCACCATAGGATTTCGCCGAAGGCAGGCGTGTCCAAGATAAGGAGATAACGTAAACACCATCGATAATCCGCCGACCCCTTTGTAAGGGGAGGCGCACGGGAAGGGTGGCAGCAAGCTCGTCATCATGATCATCACTTTTATTCTTACTCTTGTTCTTATTATCATCAACATCGATCACCATCATCATTCTTATTATCATCAACATCAATCACCATCATCATTCTTATTATCATCAACATCAATCACCGTCATCATGATTGTCATCATCAGCTCTTTCATCATCATCATCGTCATCATCATCTGCTTATCACGATGACTCCCGGTGATGCTCGGGATGCGTCATGACGCTCATCTTCCGATTTGTCATCAATATCCGATGCACGAGCATTGTGGAAGACCAGGTCTAAGGCGCGACCCGCAAGCTTGGTTACGGGTCACGCTTCACATTGTCTTCACATTTAGACTTGTCTTCATATATTCTTCTGACTTTCTTCATACTCTATATTTTTTCTTCTTCTAGCACTTTGCCTTTCCCACGGCCATTCTGGAAGACTAGGTCTAAGGCGCGACCCTTAAGCTTGGTTACGGGTCACGCTTCACATTCTCTTCACATTCACACTTGCTTATCATCATCATGATGTATACGTTTCAAGTGTCCATTGGAGAGGCAGAAGACGCGTGGACATGACTATCATGATGACTGCTGGTGATGCTGAGGATGCGGGGTGATGCTTTAGGCGCGACCCGCAAGCTTGGTTACGGGTCACGTTCACATTCTCTTCACATTCACACTTGCTTTTCATCATCATGATGTATACGTTTCAAGTGTCCATTGGAGATGCAGAAGATGCGTGGACATGACTATCATGATGACTGCTGGTCATGCTGAGGATGCGGCACGATGCTTACTGATGATGCTGAGGATGCGTCATGATGATTATCATCCGATTTGCGATGCGAAAGATGCGTGGACATGAGTATCATGCTGAGCATTCTGGAAGACCAGGTCTAAGGCGCGACCCGCAAGCTTGGTTACGGGTCACGCTTCACATCATCTTCACATTCACACTTGTCTTCATATATTCGTCTGACTTTCTTCATACTTTATGCATCTCTTCTGCGAAAAATAGCTTGAGCAGGGTCCGTCAATTCCAACACCGCCTGCTCAGTTTTTGCGCTCAAAGGGCCTGAGCAAGGTTCCTCTAGAACGAGGCCCGATCGAACAGATTTTTTCCCAAAAAGGGTCTTCCGGCCCTCGGTGCTCCGGAGGTCATAGAGTCCACGGCCCGCAGTGTCGCCGTACTAGGGTTGAAGCTCCGCGTTCGTCGGGCTTGGAAAGCCCCGCGTCCTCCCGGCTTTAATGCGCCGGCCATCCTTGTTGCGTTGGAACTTTCGGCGCTCTCCTGCAGCAGCCGGAACTCGGTGGCCGGCTCTCCACGTCCTCGAAAACACCATACACCGTCTCGTGCGGCGGGCGTTGTGGGCCCCGGCCACACGCACCACGGCGCCTTGGGGCGCTTCGGCTTTGCGCTTCCGGCCCGCGTGGCGAACTCTGGGGGTGCGGGGGCAGAACAAGTAATGGAGGCGCTGAGGGACCTGGACGACGACTTCAACGTGCGGACCCGGAAGCTGCCAGAACACTCGAGGGAAGAGCAGGTACGGCCTGGTGGTGAT